AAAATTTGATTGTGCCCCCCCAACACATAAGTCTGTGTCTGTCCCTGCTTCTAGATGAGATAGTTAACTTGATTTACAGGTAAACGTCTAGTTACAAGTCTCGTCATCATCCATTTATACAAAAAATGTACATGTATCCTTTAATCACATTAATGAATAAATTTTAAAAAAGTTAGTGTCAACCCCGGTTTTCGGTTAATCCAGCCAATTCTCAAGTTATTCTAATATGTTTTAATTTTTATATTTTTAGCCTATGATCGGACGGGTTCTTGGACCTGATTCTTGGTTCTCTGGTTGAACTAGCCAGTCAATCTGGCAAACATTGTTAAACAATGTTGTACATGACATCAAAAATGATTTTAAATTATTTTCTTGAAATTGTTCACTACTGTATAATACAATGTACGGAGTATGTAATTGACGACGTCCACTTATGTAATATGTCACCACATAGTCCATCAGATTAATTTTGGGAGACTAGTTTGATTAAAATTTCAATTTCTACATTCAAGTGGCTATTAGCCCATGTTGCATGAACCAACATGAAATGGCATGAACATTATAACTGGAGATAAACCCTTAATTAAGCTTTAGAAAAAAAGATTTAAGTCATTAATATCTGATATTAACGTCAAATGATGCCTTGAAGCTAACAGAACAGTTTGATGATCATGTTAATTACTCCGTTAAACTTCAATGGCGTGACAAATAAACCATAATTTTATCGACGTTAGTGCAATCAGTAGAGCATTTTCTGATTCAAAAAGCTTCAATAATGTAAATTTAAGGCCACCAATGACCATCTAATTAAATTTAACGTTTACCATGTTAGGTCCAGCAGAGATGATGAAGAATAATTAAAGATGATAGGAACAAGATTTTTTTCTACTTGATAAGATCAAGTTAAAACAACTATCAACTTTGTTGAATTTAATTCATTTTCAATAGTTATTGAATAATGATGATGTTGTAAAAGAGAATCTTGTGTTATAATACGAACGAAAGTGATGTGATGTAATAATAGAAATCGTTTTGCTTTACAAATGCTTTAAAAATCGATGAGGTTTACCTTCTTTTAGTTCTTTTGAAGCCGAAACTAAGTGTTTAGCTAATTCATACTTGTTTAATCCTATTGAGTTTTGAAAAGAAAAGGCAAAATAAAGTTTAAAGGGAAGTGGATAAGTCTTCTTTACCAGATCTCTTTTATAGAAGATGTCAATTTCACTAATTTTTTATAGTATATTTCCTCCTTAAAAGCTGACAGATCATAGCCTATTAAAAGCAACTAATTTGTATTCTTGTTTCTCATTTCTTAATTTTTTGTCCATTTCATATTGTACACAGAATAAAGTCTTTTGTTTAGGGAGAGGTAGGTGACTTAGTGCAACCCTTTCTGTCAACTGTTTTTTACACATAAAAATAAGAAGATAGAGAAGGGACATCATAAGGCAATAATACTTGATAATCTTGAATAATTCTTCTTAATCTTTTGTGGGTTCAGTTCAAGAGGGTTGTTAAGTCTTTCAACTTCTCCTAATCCTAATTATTAGTGGGATCTGAGGAAATTTATCCAAAACAAGATTTCTTTATTCAATATAAACCCAAAAGAGAACAAAAGAAGGTGGTGGTGGAGATGGAGATGGAGATGGAGATGGAGATGGAGATGGAGATGGACATATAAAGTTTATT